TCACAAATGGACTGTTGTCAAAAATCTGTCTCGTTAAGGACAAAAAGAGGTTCAAATAGGACCCCCACCGCAACCACCACGTGTAGTGGGACACTTAGTGACCATGCATTGCGCCACGTAGCGTGTAAACTTGAAAACGGTCAGAAGATAGCACATGTTGCCCAACTTCGTCGAAGCTAAGTTGTTTACTCCTATGTAACCTTGTTCGTGTTCATTAAATCAGGTTGTGTTACTGGCCTTGAACTATGTTTCGGTCCGTCTACCCACACACGGCCTGCTCTTACCCGATAAAAAATTCCAAGCGAGCCTTGCTTATATTTTTCCCGTCTGGACTGCTATTTTACATCGGACTCTCTATCGCACTACGTTACTAAGAGAAAAGTAAAATAAAAAGAGGAAGAAAAATCAAGGCAGGCTTGCGCCGTTGAGTTGGACAGAATGTACATTGAGTCAGATACTAGTGAGCTAGTCAGGGTGTAAGGTTCAAAGCTTTCATCGAGAACCTTTCATATTCTTTTTTGGTTTTTCTCAGTGTGACCAGTATATACAAGAATCCTATTCAGAATCTCCTTTCCTATTTTAATGTGATATTACCTATTATCTTATTGATTTCCACCAATATTGAATATCCAATTTCATTTTCATTCTACTCTTTGAATTTTGACCTGATGTAATGCATCTACACCGTTCAAAATGAAGCAATAATTGCTTCCATTGAAGAGCGATAGTGGGTAATTTCGATTTAGCGGCTGACGGCTAAATGTCAGCTAGCTTGAAGATTAATCAGTGATTAAATTCAATCGTTGGACCAGCCATTTTTGTACATTTCGGACACAATTGAGGATTAATACTGAAACGTTTATTATACCAATCGAAAACGCAGTAGATAAAAATATACTTTCTCCATAATTTTGAACAATACCTAGATTTTCAGGCGAAACTTGTGGCCCTCGTAAAAGCGAACTCTATAAACCAGGTCTTTCCTAAAAAAAAAAATTTAGTGGTGTACTAAGCAAACAATTCAGCCAGAACTCTAACTCCATTCGTTCTACCAACTGACGTTTAAAGCAAAAACCTTATTCACGAAAGTAACAAACAAAAGCTAATTAAACAAAACGAAATTGCAGCGGCATTTTGTGCAAACGCATGAGTATCTTACTTGAGGATATGCAGACCTTAATCGGCCTAAAGTTGAATTACCAAGGGGTATTTTTGGTGTTTTTAGAGTCAATATCGTTCTTCTGTGGCCTTGAAAATATCTAGCTAGCAATAAATTCTGTCTCTTGGTAAAATAATTTTGATATTCTTAACATTGATTGAACGCCCAGTTGGTAAACTAATTGTTGCTTCATGAATTGTAAACAATCACACCGTGACTATTTTAAAATAATATTGTCATAACATCGCAACAGCACGTAGATTCTTAATTCCATAGTGCTCAGTAGTTTTAGTGACCATATTCGAAATGTGCTGAAGAAGGAGAGTTCAAAGTATATTTCCCGAAGGTTTACATTGTCAAAGAACTATTCAAATAAAGTATTCTGAATTTTTAGGTTTGAAGTAAAGATCAAAGGACATAAGGACATAAGGCGCGTGATAAAAAAATACCTGAGACGAAATGCCAGGCGCTGGGAGCATGCGTTCGTTAAATAACGCGGAAACAGTATACCACACATTATATATTCCTCATTTCGTTTCACCCCACTCTTTGACTTGTGTTTTGTTGAATATTGCACCGAAAACCATTTAAAACTGCTTGCGTTAAAGTTAAATAGTAAATATAACATTGATTTAGCAGTTGACGGCTAAATGTCAGCTAGCTTGAAGATTGAGGACTAAGTTCATTGGAACAACCTTCTTTCACATCAGTTTTTCGGACACAATTGAGGATTAAAATTAATGTCTTCATTATTGCCATTTAAAATGCAGTAGATATACTGGATATAATTTTTCCATAACAAGGGCGTAACCACGAATTTCGTAGCAGTCCAGACGGGAAAGACGTTATCAAGGTTTGCGTGGAATTATTCATTTGCTAATTTGCCAATATTTCTTTTACCTACTCTTATTTTTCTTCAACCGACCGGCCTACTCACTTTCATGACAGAAAGGAGAAAGAGAAACCAAACATTTTATTTTATTACACCTCCAAACTTTTCAAACCTTTCTTTTCTCGACACTGTAAATCTTCTTCCAAATCCTCGGACGGAGTTCGTGGGATGCGTTCTTTGTGAACGGTTGTCGAGCAAGCTACGAGTAGCTCGGCAGACGCGCGGGTATTATGCAAGAAGAAACGATAGCTGGTCTTAGTTAATAATACATAGGTTTGAATTAAGGAGCAGAGGTTCCAGGGTATGCAAGAGATAATAACGAAATACCAGGGGGTTGAGAAAATGTGTTCGTTAGATAACGCTTGAACGGTATATCACAGCTCCGTTTCGTCTATTTTAGTGTTAGAAATCTTGCCCAGGCTGAATAATATTCTCTTTCTACGGGCTGTCGACTTCGTTTTGAAGGCCGGGTTCTTTATATCGGCAGCGTTTACCTGTAATAACAAAATTTAAAGCAGTAACTAGTATTTATTGTTTTCAGATAAAGTCTTGAATAGTCACTTAGCAATTTTTGTAGCTCAGAGAAATGAAGTCTTGTCGTTCCAATCCGCACACCGAACAGACCTAAACAAAAGCTGCGCCGCCTTAATGTCGGCCGCTTTGAAGATTGGGAGGGCCTTTTTGGATCCTCCTTTTGTTCTTACCGAGACGGAGTTTTGATAGCCATTCATTTGTGTTAGGATTGTGCTTAAAATTTAAAAATAACTATCGTTCCCTAATTAAAATTGGATTTGAATGCTTAAAGACAATCGGGTTGGAATATGAAAAGTT